GACATCGTTGAAGGATCTGTGGTGTGAGTTTTGTCTTCTTGAAGTATATTGGTCTCTGAGCGAATTACAATACATGTTCAACGATCACTGAACAGACTCAGTGATGATCGTTGAAACTGAATACAAAGATAATACACTTCAATAGATAAAAGGGATCATCATCAAATCATTGAGAGAGAGGATCAACAAAATTGTTGTTCAAAGATCCCATAAAACATGATCTGGAAAAATGAGAGGACCATTCAAGTTAGTTCTCTTCCTTTGCCATCAGAACTTGTCCGTGCTCTTTCTTCTTGGCCAACTACAACTTCCTGGTGTAGTAGTAGTAATTTATTGACTTCTTAAATCTACAATCCCTTGAAAAATGACCAGGTTGCTCACAATTAAAACATCTTCATACATCATCATCATCATGTTTCTCTTGAACTTTTCTTCTTTTCTTTTTTCCTCTCATACTTCTAATATCCTTTGAACTTAGAATTATGTTTCTTGTCACCATTACCCTTCTTATAATGATCAGATTTGGGCTTGTCATAGTTTTTCTTGACAAACCTCTTTTTAAATGCCTTGGTTAATAGTGTAAGACTTTCTGCCATCTTCTTGAGTTCTAAGTCTAAATTTCCACTGTCAGGATTGGAATTAGAATTTAACTCTAGAATCTCAATGATCTTGGATGAGGAAGATCTTTTGGAACTTGTTTCTATTTTCTTTCAGAAATCAAATCAAGAGAATCATTTACCTTCTTCTTCTCTGTTAACCTCTCCTTGGACTTCTCTTTATATTGATTTTAGAATTCAATCAATGTAATGGATGTTCTCCTTGGTAAGGTTCTTTGTCAAGAAATTATATGCAAAACTATCCCATTCAGGCCTCAGATTCTTTAGAAACTTGTTATTGATTTCTGAATTAATTTTCTGCACACCATTCCTCCTTAGATCATTAAGAATGTCATTAAATCTGCTATATGTCTTATACAATGATTCAGACTATTTGGCTTTAAACCATTCATATGCTCTTATGCATATGTTGATCTTGTTTTGCAATGCCTTCTGTCCACCTTGCATTTGAGCCTCCATTTTATCCCACATCTCTTTAGCAGATTTGAGACTATCAACCCTGTTGAATATCTCATTTGCAAGAGCCATGGTTAGCTAAGTTCATTCTCTTTTGTCAATCTTTGCTCTTCTCTTCTCTTTTGTGTTGTACACACTTGGATCCTTCTTGATTCTTGAAGAAGGAATGGTTGGAGTGTCATCTATTCTTGGAACTGCGAGATCTCGATGAATACTTCCAGAGGTCTTTCAAGAATTGATTTCATCAATTCCCTATCAATGTTATCAAGAAATTGTATCATGCGTATTCTCCAGTGATGATATTCACCCACGAACAAGGCAGGTGGTTTTGTTTCAGACTCGATACTCACATACTCCTTAGACATCTTGAAATCAGTAATATGATCGACACGACAATATAAAAATTCAAAAGGGAAATTGATCAAGAAGAAAAGAATATTGATCGATTTGAATGGAATTGATCAATTGATTGAAAGTCGAATCAAGGTCTAGAAATCAAAATGAAATTTAATGATGAATTCAAAAGTCGAGTGCTCTAATACCAATTGATAGATCCCGTATACCGATTATAAGCAAGATATTAAGAAATACAATCAATAGTAAAATAGAATTGAGGATGAAGTCATCATGTCATTGGTTATTCAGTTGTGTAAGAATACAAGAATATATCTTGAAAGAATCTATACAATATATGTGAAAGTTGTTAACATCATTATCAAAAACAGATCTGACGAACTCCTATTTATACAAGAAAGGCTAGGCTAAATATATAGTACATTACAAAACAGACAAATGAATATCTAACATGTGGCCTAGTATCTTGACTTTAATCTTCATTCTTGAGAAACAACTCTGAATAAATTGGCTAAGTGTCTAACAATGGATAGTGTATCCAAAGTTAGTTCCGAACTCTGTATACCAAGTAGCCGAACTCTAAAGACTCTAACACTTAGACTTTTCTTCACTTTCAAACTTCTGGAAACATTGTTTCAGACTTGATGTCAAACTTTGGAATCATACATTCAAAGTTAATATCCAAACTTTGAACTAACTCTGAATTCAAGTCTTTAGACTTTCAACACTTTATAAATTTGCACAACTTTGAACCAACTTCTTATTTCAACAAGTCTATCAAATCATGCTCTTCAGTGATAAGACCTTTACCATTTTTATTGAAGTTTTTCATATCTTGATACCTATCCTTCAACTTTAGGTACTTTTCATTGTTTGAGCGTAAAGAAGAGGAGGATTTTGAGATTTTCTTGGACTTGCATTCACTAGCGAAGTGTCCTTTCTTCTCACAGTTAAAGCATATAACTATAGCCTTGTCAACAGGTGCTGATTAAGGCTTATCAGTGATAGCATAGCTTTTCTTTCCATAAAAGTTGCTCTTTCTGGCAAACCTTCTAAAAGAATTTGTTAGAAGATCCAGTGACTCATGAAACTTTGAAAGATCAACGTTTGTTAAGTCTTTAGAGACAAAGGTTTCATATTTAGTGATTGTGAGAGCAGGAGGAGGACCGAAACCAGAAGGAGGAAGAGAAGGAGAAGCATAAGGAGAAGAAGAAAAAAAGAAGTATGAGGAGGAGGAGGAAGAGGAGGAGAAGATAAAAAAGAAGGAAAAAAGGAGAAAAAACATGAGAAAAAGGAGGATAAGGAGAAAAAGAAGAAGAAGAAGAAGAAGAAGAAGAAGAAGAGAAGGAGAATAAGAAGGAGAAGAAGGTGAAGAAGGAGAAGAAGGTGAAGAAGGGAATTGTATCTGAAGAGATTAAAACTACAAGTGATCTTTTGGAATCTCTTGAGTCACTGATGAGATTCTTCTTCAGCCGTCTGGATTGGTCATGGTTCAACAATATATCATAGAGAGCATTGAGAGACAAATTTTGGTGATCTTTAGATACATTGAGACACATTGAATAGGTGTCTCAAGATTTAGGCAAACATTCCAAAAACTTTGTCAGAGTCTCAGAGTTGGAATATTCTCTATCAACAATTATAAGGTCAACTAATAAGCAATTAAAACATTGATGTACCTCAGACAAAGATTCATTTTTACCACACATGAAAATCTCATTCTGTCTTGCCAAATTTATCTTTTTGGATTTTTGTACTTCAGTTATACCATCATATTGAACACATTGAGTGTCCACATGGCTTTGAGGTTTTGAGATTCATTATATAGTGATAAATCTTATTAGGAAGAGCTATAGGATGAAGGTTCTAGCTTTGATGTCGATGGCCACCTTCTTTCTTTCTTTCATCATCGGTCCATTGATGGGCTTGCTTTGCTACATCGTTCATGCACTAATCTACCCCTAAGGGGTAGGGGCACTTGTCCCCCAATAAACAAGTCAACAAATCCATACAAATGTTGTGGAGAAAAAAAGTCCTCCTCATCAATACTTAGGGGTCGTTTACCCAAACGCTTACTGGTAAGAGTCAGTAGTCTCATTTTACCTTATCGAGTAAGCTTTTAACACATCAAAACAGTGTCCTATGCAACAATTTACCTAGTAAACGCTAATAGGGTACGAGTCGTTACACTCACTTATTGGACAAGATTTTCGGTCCTTGCCATTACTCTTAGCGGGTAAGATTCTCGATCATTGACATATTCACCCGGTAAGGTAAGTGACTAGATAAGCACTTACCGAGTAAGCACATGTTAAATGACCCCTTAGTTTGAAATTTGCACGTACTCATAAACTTGCAACTAAAAGTCCTCTTCATCAACACTTGATAACAATTCATACAATTACTGGAAATTTTGGAGAAAAATATGTTGGGTTCCTATGTATCAAACTAACCAACCCAATATAATTGATTATGACTTGTTAAAACCGTTATTCCAAAATACATAAGCTTAAACTAGACAATAGATGAGCAACTTAAATTTAAATTATACCGCTTATTAGCAGATTCGAAGGATCTGTCATTGGTTAGGGGTGTTCATCAGTTGAAATCCAATAGATTTAAGTGGATCAGATCCGATCCAATAATCATTGGATGTTGGATTTTGTCATCCATTCCGATTAACATTGAATATCCGATCTGATCCAAATTCTTGGATAAGATCAGTTCCATCTATTGGATGTTACTATTGATTATCCAATGGATCAGATTGGTTTCGTCCAATCTTTTGATCCAATACTCAACCAATTAATCCTTTATTTCAATCAATTATTCATATATTTTCTTAACTTATTAAAAAAATGTACATAAATATCAACCAAAAAGATATCGTAAAATGTTAGTAATTGTATATAGTTACTAATTGGATTTTAGTTGGATGATAATTGAATGGTCATTGGATTGAATCGATTCAGTTTTATTGGATGCTGGATTGCCATCTAAGAACCAACCGATCCGATTTGGATGTTGAAATTTTGGATTCGACCCGATCTGATTACAATCGGATATCCGACTACGCTCGATCGATTTAAATTAGATCAGATGACTTTCTGCATATCCCTAGTTTTGATATTATATATGTAACATATGAAACATTTAAATACCTACTTTACATATTATAATGGAATTAAATATACCATAATTTGATCTGATTCTTACAAAATATTTAAGATATCAAATGTGAAGTAACAAAATAAACGATTTTGAAAATACGTTACATAAAACCAAAATATATTTTTATGTCATTTACTTTTTATTAAAAAAAAATAAAAAATAAATATTTATTACTATTTTTATAATACATTCTTTATGTAGAAAAGCCCAACAGATTTCGTGAGACAATCCCTCCATCCAAGGCAAGTATATGATTTATTTGCAAAATGACAAAACAACCCTCGACATCTGAAAACGTTCCCCATGATACCGAGGATGCAACCGTCATTCCGTTTTCTTAAAAACCCACTTTAGAAGTTTAGCGTGATCCAGAACGACGTCGTTAGCCCCCACGGGTGAACAGACGCCAAATTATGTTCGTTGGATATAAATTAGGTTTAAATTAAACCCCCCAATAACGGATTCAATTTTCCCCTTTCTATATTTATCCGCAGGACTCTTACACAGACTGTAAAGCTTTCAAGTCAAGATGTTAGGGCTTTTTTAGCTAAATCATTTGTGTAGATATTTGTATAATTTCATTTGTCGACTTTGATTTGGTTTATGTGTATATAGATATATGATTTGTTGGATGTTCGATTTGGAAAACCCTAATTTGGGTTGAAGGTTTTGTATCTGGGAGATCTGGTTCGGAGATATAAGGAAACATTTGATTTGATTCCAATGGAGGATCACGAGGAGGATGATTTGCAAAGGGCGTTAAGGATGAGCATGCAACATGAGCCGCCAGAGCCAAAGAGGAGCAAGGCGAGGGATAACAGCGCTGAGACTCCGCTGGAAGAATCGCCGGAAGCCAAAAATCGGAAGTTGCAGCGGGAGTTGATGGCGGCAGCAGCTGAAAAGCGTATGATGGCGGCCTCGGCAGCTATGGCTACGACTGCTACTAATACTAGTGCGCCTAAGAATGTTTCTTCCTCCTCGGAGGCTTCAGCGTCAAAAGTGGATAAGTGTGCGCCAGTGGCGAAGAAAGAGAGGTGTTGGGGGGAAGAGTTGTCTTCGGAGGAAGCACAACAACTATTTTCGATGGTTTTTGGGAATGAAGTTTCGAAGGGAATACTTGCACAGTGGAGCAATCAGGGTATTAGGTATGGGGATTGGTTACGTAACGCAATTGAATATTTACTATTTTCCCTTCAATCTCATAGTTTATATGGTGCATAGTTTAATTTTGATTTTCATCGTGACCTTAGTTTGTATATTGAATTCACACACACACATGTATATATCTCATGCTTCTAGTCTTATATCAGTTGAGATTTAAAAATCAAACCCTCGCTCTAAGCACAGGGAAGTTGTGCTTTAATCAATCTATGGTAAAAGCTGACAGTGTCGTGCATTAAGTGTTGTCCTGTTGTAACATAATATTCAATTTTGGGACATGAAAAGTAGGTCATGCTAGGGTTTTTGATTAAGGTGGCTGAAGAAAGAATGTTAACATTTTTCTTAGTCATAGATTGGGAAGATATCATCCAGACTTAACTTCATTGTCTTCTTATTACTTTTGTCTACCTTCTCATTACTTTGATATTCGTTTGATTCATTGAGCAAACCAACCACAAGAGTGACATCTATTATATCTAGGATTTGTCGGACACAATGCATAGATATGAGCACATGCGTCCTTCTATTGCTCGTGTCCACTGCCGTTTATGGTCACTTGATTTATCACTAGCTACTAACTTTCCAGTTACTAGAGGAGGAACATTCCCAAATAGAGGACATGACATCAAAGCTTTTGGGCATTAGCACTAGAGAAAGGTTTGATTGCTAGAGAGGCATGGAGATTGTACTATTTGGCAACTTGGGTGTAGTTGATAGAAGTTAGAGAAAGGGAGAACTGACATACTAATTCAAACTAATATTATTATCGTCTAAAATGGAAGGAAATAAATTTGTAGTTTTGATGGATGGAATTTGATGCCATTGTATGAATTTCATGCCCGTAATTGCAAATTAGCCTCACGGGAGGGATATGCTCACATAGTATTATGACTTATGTCCAACCATGAAATAGACCTTTTGTGACCACATTTGTTGGCATTAGAGGGTTCTTTTGGAACCTTTAACTCCTAGACCCTTTCATGATTCCTGAGATATGGCTTCTCACCTAGGTAGATTGCTCCATGGCGTTTTCCAGCATTGGAAACTGGAGTTGGGTTGGCTGCTATGCTGTTGATTGCGGTCCTAGGGGAAATAGCGGTGGGAAATAGTGGTTCCGTGCAGCGCTAATCACCTAAATTGGGCCACAATTTTGGTTTGTAATAGCTGTGTGAAAACCGCAATTAGGAGTTGGGCTTTCAGTTGGCCTTTTAAAGGGTTTAGAGAAGTCGGTTAAGGGATTACGAGCTAGGGGGCTGATTTGATTTGCAATACTGGTGTATAAACTTGCCATTCCTCTCTCATCTCTTCTAATCTAGTCTATATTTTCCATCCTCTCTTCACAACAGCATTGTCTTCAAACATTGATTGCTCGTCATCTCTTCTATTTGCGTGTTTTTATGTTCATCTTCAAAATATTTATTATGTTACGCATACATTCACACATTTATATATAATTGTAATGATTACATGAACCGCTATTTGTGGACCAATACCACCACTTTACCTTGCGATAACCGCTATATCAAATTACTATCTTGACCGCTATTTCAGATTTCAACCACTATTTCAGATTTTGACCGCTGTAACAGCATAGGTTGGTTGCTTCATGTGCCATATATAGGTGGTTTTCTCTAATGCTTGTGCAATTTTCATGCAGGTGAGCGTTGCTTGCTAGATGAAATTCTTTTCCAGGAAATAAATATTTGAGAAGGATATCTTTCTTATAACTTTGTAGGTGGAGACTTCTTTTAGTTCATTGATGTCACATGGCAGGCCTGTAATTAGCCCCATGCCGCGCAAGTAGCCATATCTGTAGAAATGGATTTTTATTGATTTGAAATTGTACAACTTACAAGCTTATATAACATTCTTGCTATATCTTTACGATAAATAAGTGAATCTTAATCCACACAATTTGCCTTTAATTGATGCTCGCTTAATGTAAAATACGATTTGCATTATTCTCTCAATCTCTTGCTATAATGAAGGTGCAATATTAGAGTATTCTGTACCTGATTGAGAGGAGGAGGAAATCACTTTAACACCCTCCTTCAAACTGGGCAACATAGGATGCACTAGTTTGTGGCAAAGAAAATTGTGACGCAGATGATATAGAGGCTTATAAGAAGATTCGTTGGTTGGTCTATGGATGGGATGAAACGAACCCGACGACCGCCTAGTGCCATTTTCTCATGCACAAAATGATAATCAAGTTCAATATGTTTGGTGCAGGCGTGGAACGCTGGACTGGATGCCATGTAGGTGGCACTCAAATTGTCACAGTAAAGCAGTATTGGAAAGTTGATATGAGCACCAAGTTCAGTTAACAAGAAGGCTGACCAAGTTGTTTTCTGCGCTAGCATGAGCTAGTGCTCGGTATTCAGATTCGACACTTGAGCGTGCAACGGTGGGTTGCTTTTTGGAGCACCCTGACACAAGGTTGCTGCCAATGTAAATGAGATAACCTAAAAATTAAGTGCCTAGATTCGGGGCAACCTGCCCAATCAACGTCTGAATAGGCAGATACATGAACGGGTGGGTGTTGAGCTAAGAACTTAAGGCCATAATCAAGAGTTGCTTTTACATAACGAAGTATCTGCTTTGCAACAATTAAGTGCGTTGAACGAGGTTGGCGCATGTATTGGGATATCGAATTAACAGCAAATGCAATGTCGGGCCGAGTTATTGTTAAATATTGTAGATCCAACCATTTCACGAAACATTGTCGGATTGTCAAGAAGAGTTCCTTTAGAGGATGACAAATTTGCCTTAGTAGACAATGGTGTGCCTATTGGCTGACTATGCAATAAGCCGTGTTTCTCCAGAATGTCTCGTGCATATTCAACTGATTAATATGGATGCTTTTTGGAGAAGGTGACTTGAAGACCCAAAAGATAGTTCAATGGCCCTAGATCCTTGATGTCAAAACTACGTCCCAAAAAATCAGTGAAGTTCTAGAGAAGCTTGTCATTACTACCGATGACAACAATATCATCAACGTATAGTAAAAAGTAGATAATATGGCCAACATGGTGATATATAAATAAAGAGGGGTCCGCCTTACTGATTTGGAAGCCCACAGAGAGAAGAAAAGTGCTCATACGATGGAACCAAGCATGGGGTGCTTGCTTTAAGCCATACAATGCTTTATGCAACTTGCAGACATAGGAAGGTTTTGTAGGATCAATAAAACCCGGGGGCTGAACCATGTAAACATCTTCTTGAAGGGATTCATGGAGAAATGCATTCTTAACTTCAAGTTGCCGAAGTGGCCACGAGATTCTTAAAAGAATGGATGGGGTTGAGACCAAGTAGGAGCAGGTCCTAAAAGACCTGGAGCTCGACTTGCCAGGGAAAAAATGGATAGGGTTGAGACATATTGGAAGACTGCATCTGCTGGTTTTGTGGGTTAAATAGACCACTTTGGGGTGAGAAATGCCATTGATTTTGTTGATGGCGGTTGGACCTGAAGTTTTGTTTGCTACGCTGGTCAAGACGGTTGCCATTGTGTTGGTCACGACGGTTGGAAGAGGAAGGGGAATGTGCATTGTGGTAGAGAGTAGTAGCTGTTGGTAGGCTTGAAGACAAATCTTGGTGTTGAGCGTCAAATGCCAAGATCCGAGCACGGAGATTGAAGAAGTTGGGAAGAGAGGGGACCCTTGAGTTAAGGTCGTCCGTAGCATAAGGTAATCCGGCCCAAGGCCGTGTAAAGTTGCAAGAACCAAATCATCATCAGAAACGGGCTTGTTAATGGATGCAAGAGAGTTGGCAATGGACTTAGCATGACGGAGATAATCATCAATTGATTTAGAGCCTTTCTGGAGTTCAAGTTATTGAAGCTTGAGACTAGATGCACTAGCGGTGGAATTTTGCGAGAATGACGAGATAAACAGTCCCAAATAGCTTTAGAGGTGTCAAAGCCAATCGTGAGTTGAGAGACACTTTCGGTGAGAGAGGTCGTGAGGAGACTCACAATTTGCTAATCAACGGTGAACCATCGGGTATGAGCGGGGTTGGGAATAGTTTGAGCGGGGTCCTTGTGGGTGGCTGGTATAGTGATTGTGGGTGAGGGTTCTTCGATGGTGCCGTTGACATATCCCCGAAGCTTCTGTTCATGAAGATAAGGGTTGATTTGTGGAAGCCAGGTGAGGTAATTGGTTTCACTGAGTTTTGTAGATTGGGCTGTGTTTTGGGTGGGAGTGGCCATGGAGATGAGAGGGAAAGAGATGATGGAAAAAAAACCTACAGGAAGAGAGGACCACTGAGTTAAGGTCGTCCGTAGCATAAGATAATCCGGCCCAAGGCCGTGTAAAGTTGCAAGAACCAAATTATCATCATAAACGGGCTTGTTAATGGATGCAAGAGAGTCGGCAATGGACTTGGCATGACAGAGATAATCATCAACTAATTTAGAGCCTTTTTGAAGTTCAAGTAATTGAAGCTTGAAACTAGATGCACTAATGGTGGAATTTTGCGAGAAATGATGAGATAAAGCCCCAAATAGTTTTAGAGGTGTCAAGGCAATCGTGAGTTGAGAGACACTTTCGGTGAGAGAGGTCATGAGGAGACTCGCAATCTGCTGATCAACGGTGAACCATTGGGTATGAGCGGGGTTGGGTATAGTTTGAGCAGGGTCCTTGTTGGTGGCTGGTATAGTGATCGTGGGTGAGATTCTTCGATGGTGCTGTCGACATATCCCCGAAGCCTCTGTCCATGAAGATAGGGTTTGATTTGTCGAAGCCACGTGAGGTAATTGGTTTCACTGAGTTTTGTAGATTGGGCTGTGTTTTGGGTGGGAGTGGCCATGGAAATGAGAGGTAAAGAGACGATGGAAAAAAAAAAACCTTACATGGAGATGAGGGGGAAAGGATGAACCTATTCTGATACCATGTAGAAATGGATTTCTATTGATTTGTTGTTGTACAACTTACAAGCTTAATAACATTCTTGCTATATCTTTACAATAATTAGTGAATCATAATCCACAGAATCTGCCTATAATTGATGCTTTATTTATGTAAAATACAATTTGCATTATTCTCTCAATCTTTTGCTATAATGAAGGTGCAACATTAGAGGATTCTGTATGTGATGAGAGGAGGATGAAATCACTTTAAAAATATCAACATATGAAAATAAGTGTTTCAATAAACTAACTTAAGAATCAACCTTCTATGTGGACAATAAATTTGGATTACACACTTGAAGGTAGTTACGGAATTTCATTTTTCATTTGACCATGAAATTGATCCTCTTTGTGATGAACTTCTAGAATATTCTAATAACAATTACGACATTGAAGTTGTTCATGTTAAAAAAATAAGTTTAGTTCAAACTATAGATTTAAATAAAAGATCCGCATCTGATTTTTACACAAGTTATGTTCTCATCTATGTATTATTAAAGGAGATATAATGTCATGTACTTGAACGAGGAGGACCCTGAGCGATTTCGACACCTAGCAGGCCTTTTATTTGGTAGTATAGTGGGGTTGAAAGACAAGAGTGCCCGCCCCTTCTTTTACGACGACAGACGACCGCCTGTAAGGGGTTTACTGCACAAGGCCCCTTATCCGGATTTGCCGGGGGGTACTTACCCCAACCCCGATGGGGAACCCAACTGAGTCACTTTAGAATCTAAAATCTCTCCGATAAAACAACTCAAAAAAATGCTTGATCAGTCTTACAGGAGACGCTAGGCTTCCTTGAACGAGGGGATGAAAGAGCATGAACTAAATACCTTCGATATCACGTCCAGGATTCCTCTGTCTGTTTTGTGTTGAATTGGTTGACCTGACGAACAAGAACAAAAGCACCACTAGCTGTAAGAATAGAAGGAAGCCAGGTATCCCAAGGGTTGTCCTGTGACAAAGTCAACACTCTCTGGAACATCATCATCATGGTTAGAAATGCAGCAGTAGAACTTGTAGTTTCTATAGTACTGTGTATCTTATATTTTGTTTAAGGAGTATACAAAAGATCAGCTGTTTAGGTATACCTTGTTTCGTACAACCATTGGACTAGCTTCAAGAACCAACTATGGAACGGTTGAGAACTTTGCTCCAAGTGTAACCAACTTGCGTCTTTCCTCAAAGATCCGCTTGTCCTTTGTATCAACACCATTAGTCGAGCTAGGTTAGTTGTAAGGGATCAGACTATGGGAATACGAGACGAGAACACTTTGTTGGTTTATTCTTTATGCTTTATGTTTCTTTAATGTGGATGACTATAAATAAGGTAGGTCTATGACGTCATAGGAGGCTCCAACCTCCGAGGATGCCACATGATCATTCTAGTTCTTGAATTTTCGTAGGTTTATCTACAAAATATCCAGCTTATTACATGTATCAAGAATACTCTACTCGTCGTTACTCAGATTATGCAAATACCACAAGATGCAGAGACCTAGACTATTCAGGAAAACTCTACTCATCCTTGCTCCTAGAGAAATCTAGTGCATCAAGAATGCCGCCAGTGTGGCGATTCCTGACTTGAAGAGCTCAGGGTGTGACACAAGCTAGTTGGAAATATATTCAAAGATGAAGAAATTTTTATGCACAAATGTTGGAGGTTTCTCAATTTTTTTGGAGACTGACAATTTTGTATTTGGTCTGCTATTGGGTGCTAAAGGATAAATCGGTAGATTTTAAATCCTGGCATTTAGACTGTTGCTATGGAGCATCCATGAAGTCGTGCCAAATCAGAAATCTGGCAACAATGTATGTGACCAAATATGGCTTCAAAGATTAGAAGAGCACAAGTGATCAGCACCTGAGGGTACTTTTTTTTTTTTGATTAACCTGGATATCCAACCCGCTATGTGAGCCGACTAATCCCAGGGCGACCACCTGCTTTGCAGATAGCCCGGAGTCACCGCATTTGAACCTCCGTGGCCACAAGGGGATTTTTATTCCTCCTTGGATTTGAACCTGGGACCTCCTGGTACTTTTGACCTTTGGAGCTAAGCTCAAACCAATCAGGCACCACCCTTGTGGTTACCTGAGGGTACTTAAATTGATCAATTTTGTTAGTAGAAGTCAAGTCTGAGAGCGGGAGATTTGCATGAAGGTTAATGCTGTTGGCTTAGTGCAATAAATATAAATGAAAGGAAATTTCTAGTTGAGAGCTGTTACAGGACAGGAACATACATATTCAAAGACGATTCTTGTCCATCAGCTTTACTAGAATCCCCGACTGGAATGATTGTTGAAGATGGCCGATGACGTTTGTAGAATGCATCTTTTTTGTATAACCTATTGTTTTAAGGGCATAATATTACAATATTGTTAAGGAAGGTAGGGGATATAGCAGACACAAGTGAATCCTATGCTTCTAAAGGGATTTTTATTGGTGTTTTATTAGCGGTTATATTTTTACCTTTGAGTAATCATTATTTTAGTTGATTCAAGTTGAATGTAGATTTTTTGTGAGGCTCATGCAATTAAAGATTGGTTAGTCATGACAATAAAATTATTTCCTTGCTTAAACAAAAGCCTAGAAGTGCCTTCTTGACAGATGGGAATTTAGTTGTTGGTGATAAGTGGTGGATTGGATTCAGAATATTATTTGGAGAAATCCTGTACTACTTCTCACAAAATTGGTTAGCGATTGCCGCAATTATTCAATATTTTCCTGCTACTGGAAAAACAAATGACGAACTACATTCTATGTATAGTACGGTACTTCATGTATTTAATTATCCTCTAGAGAAATAACTACTCAGGAATTGATAGTTCTTTGCACTTGATCACTAAATTTCTGTACCATATGTGAAAATTTTGTCTTTGGCTCTGTATTATTTGTAAGTTTAGTGATGTGGCCACATTTGTGATAGTATTTCAAAAAAAATTGAAGGACAAATAAAAGCTCGAGTGATTGTAAAGATGGAGGCAGTGCTTTGTAAGTTGTCCATGCCATATATATAAAAACTTGTTTCTTTTTTAAGTATATAGTATTTATATACGGCAAATGCAACAAATAAACTAACACCCTCTTCATCGTTGGTGAGGTTTGAATCCTTGATTTCCAAGGAAGCCAAAGGCCCTGATATACATGTCCTGTCATACTCATGACTTTGATGAAAGCAGTAGTCTTGGTATTTGCTTTTTTTGTATGAAGGCTGGTGTGATGTCTGCATTCTTCATAATCATATGTTAAAAAGAAAAATGGTTTTCCGTATGCTATATAAAACCTTGCTTCTTGCTTATTCTAGAGAATATAATTTCCTTGTAGGTTTAGTCCTGATGAAGAAACATCAATGGGATTAGTTCAGCATGAAGGTGGGCCATGTGGTGTGTTAGCAGCTATACAAGTAAATTTCTTGAGTTCTCAGTACCTCCTTATGTGAACTAATGCTGTGTAGAATGCAACTGTGAAACACGTTGTAAATTATATTGCATGTTTTAACATTGAGAGAAGTTTTCTTGTTATTTCTATGATATTAGTTACAAGATAATCAATTTTTATAAGCAATGAATTAAGGCTAAGGTTTTCTTAATGTTGAAATGGGTTCACATCACTTGAAGTCATTCAACGAGCTTGAACTTGACTAGTGTATATGCTTTAGTTTTGATGCATACAATAGCAAGCTGTTATATCTTAAAGAAGTTTGTGCTGGATACCATAATACAATTAGAACTTGAAGAAAGAAGAGATGAAATAATGTATGGCCATTCCACGAATAACGTCCTTCCATGTTCTCTTATCTGAAGCCAATCTTCTAGATTTATTCTGTTTTTCAGATATCATTTGATCACTTCCACCATATTGAATCGGTCATCCCCTACCTCTCCATACACCCTTCTTTTTGGTGTAAGTCTCCCTTATTCACCAGCCATCCAAGGATGAAGGTGATTGGACAATCTAAAATGGTTTGCAAAATATCTTCAGTCAGAGTCACACATACCTTCTCGTGTGTATTCTCATTCTAATTTCCATTCCCAGCATCATGTGTCTGCACATCGATCTTGACATTTGCATTTATGTTACACCCGTTTAGTGCACATGTTGTCTTTTGGTGCCTAATATCGTGCCACCTAAATCGTTTACCACATTGGTTGGATTTTTGTCACATAGGACTTGTGATGCTTTTCTGCCACTCTGCTACCATGCTGTTATCCTATGAATGCTATTCATTTCTCCATCCTTTTGTATCACTCTAATGAACAAAAGATATCCTAGTTAAGCACATTTTGTCCAGCCATGGTCACCATGTTTTCATCCTCTCTCACTACACTGCCGAAATGACAACTGTTTTAAGTTTTACTTGCTTAAAGCTCTTCAATTCAAGAGTGGTTCTCCAAACTCTCGTATTGTATCAACACATGACTTGGTCTCAGCATGCTTTAGTTGAACATGAGAAAAAGAAATAAGGCGCCGGCTTTAGAGCCTGAGCTTGCATGAAAGTAATGGCTATATTATATGTTGTATTAGAAACATTAACAAGCTCCAAGACAAATGTATTTCTTATGCTATCTCCTTTTGCAATTCTGGTGGAATAATGTACAGTTTTTACCCCTGATAAGTTAGATACAAAAGCAGAGTCCACGCAGGAACTAAATCAAATTAAAAGACGTGGGACAAAGGGTGTTGAAACTTCCTTAACTGAAATCTGAAAATGCAGAAATCTTTTGTTCATCAAGTATTCAGTAGTTATTATAAGTGCTAAAATATTTTTGTTTTTCATATGGAAGTAATATTCTATCCATTGATATAAACATTGCAGGACCTTTGGTTTTTTATTTGTATCATAGATATATTCAGCATTCTGTGTTCTACTATTAGTGTTCAAAAGTAAGGTTGCCGTCTGATAATGATGACAATTTATTTGGAACTGTATAATATTTTTATACGGTAAAATCTCACAGACACTCCCCATCTTTGGTGAGGTTGGAACCCTTGACCTCTAGGAAGGTTGGGTTACCGAATACCGCTAGGTCAAATGCCCTTTGGTGTGTGATAAGAATTTGGTTAAACTATATTCCCTCCTAACATGATTACACATCTTAATCAGAGTGTAAGACATGATAAGCTGTGTGCACTTGATTCTGGCAACCATTTATATTAGCTTTAAGATTTGATTCTTGACAGCTTCGATATTTCGTACAATTCAACTTTTTTTTTCTTGTGCAGGCATTTGTTCTTAAATACCTCTTGTTTTTCCCACAAGAATTAGTTAAAGTTGTATCAAATACACCAATGGTTTCAGTTTCAAGAAGATTGCAGGAAACTCGAGATTCTGTGTCAAATATCTTTGGGTCTCTAACTGAAGAAACAAAATCAAGGTGATCATTCACCTATCTATTTTCTGTTGCTTTGAGTTCATCACTGAAATTTATGTATGAATATTTGCTAGAAAAGATGGGTTATACCTTAAGTTGTTTCAATAAAAGGGAGAAGTCCAATCTGTTTTGAGTTCATTAAAATTCCAGGGGTGCACTTGGATGTTATTTCCAGAGTCTTCCCAATCTGTTTACACAAGTGGTGATGCTCCAATAAGAAGAGAAGAGGAAAAATAATGATTATTGTGGTTCATGCATGTCTTAAAGTTTAATCTGCATATGAGATGGATATGGGAGTCAATGTGAGAGGTTATTGGTAATCTCTTGCACTCTAGAAATAACATGTTCTAAAAGAAGTTTATATACTTCATTGCAGAGCCTTGGTCAGGAGCATGGCTGAAATATTGTTTTTATGTGGAAGTAATAGCAGTGCGACAATTGCATCTCTGAGAATTCTCGACCACGAGATTGAGGGTAAAGACGAAAGGTCAAAAGATGAGGTAAGGTCCATCTAGGGTGCGATAATCATTCTTCTCTAATTTCCCAGATGTGGTTTTATAATCGGGTTCACAAACTTGCAATAATTTTTCGTGGACTGAGTTTTACATATTCATTTTCTGACAATATGATTTTATCTTAACAGATTGTTGCAAGATCTCTAGATGGTCTTTCAATTGAATCCAGTTGTGATCTGCAGAAAGTTCTGTCAGTTAACACATTCACATCCCTTGCAAGCGCAATGCTGAGACTTGAAGAAATGATTCCAATTTTCCGTAGTCGTATGGGGGCACTATTGTTCCTACTATCTGCTTTGCTTTCTCGAGGACTGGTATGTTAATGAAAGAATCTAGGTTACTGGCCTGTTAGTTTGTTGAAATTCATATCTCCTTCCTTCCTCTTTCTACTCATCCATTTATTGAAACTTGTATGTATTTCAAGGAGCATCGGGGATTTGTCACTCTTTTCAATTTTAATCCATCTTAATGTAAAAAACATAAATTCAATGACCAAATCAAGTAGGATCATGTTTGTGTGAATTGTAAGATAGTTAAAGATAACACCAAGAAATATGTTGGACCGACTGAGATGCAAAGTGACCTATATAAGTTGGTCTTACAATGCACTTGATATGAAATCTTGAATGGAATTTGAGTTGGAATTAGCATGCTATTGATTTGAGTATGTGTATTGCAGACCAAAGATATTTTTCTGAATAGATGGGTAGAAAATGATCCCCGTTGCGAATTTACTGATATCATTAGTATAATTTCCACTTCTACTGTTTCGGAAGGAAGAGATGAGAGAATTTGATGTATTTTCCACTTATATCCTTAGTACATGCAATTGATTCGGAAAAAGATGGGTTCCTAACTGTTTTCTTCAATCTACTATGAGAGCTTTTTTTCTTTTGGAATTTACTAGGTTGGGTTGGGTTGGGTTGGATTGGGTTGGTTTGGTTTGGTTTGGTTTAGTTTAGGGAGGAGGATACTGGTTGCAACCAATATATATATATATAGGGTTGGGTTCCAGTGAGAAGAGAGAAGGGAAGTTATGGTGGATCTCCACCCTTGGATCAATCCTAATTGAATGTCAACACTAATGAGGTGCACCGGGATGCACCCGATGAATTCCCTTCTAAAGCGTAATTCATGGGTGGGCATGAGATTAAAAGTGATCAAGGGTTCGAATCTATTCTTACGCTTCTCACCATAACTTCCCTTCCCACACGATCCTTCGCCTATATATATAATCTATGAAGGCCAACCTGTATGTGTGATATTATTACATGGGGATGTCGTTTTGACTCGGATTATTGTTCAATTTTCCAGTTATTAACGCCTCACTTATTTTCAGGAAACAGTTCAAGCTGACAGGGACGACCCGAGCCAACCTTTAGTAACTGCTCCGTTTGGACATGCTTCACAGGTATTTGATTCCACTTCTCCCATCAGGGTTCGGTTGCTTGACTTGCTTTCCTCCTAACTGGAAATCGTTGTTATAACTATTTAGGAAATTGTTAACCTTCTGCTTTCTGGGATGGCTGTTGCTAATGTTTTTGATGGGAAGATGGACTTGGGTGGTGGCATGTTCGTTAAAGGGATTTTAACGACTGTAGAAGTTGGATTTCTCACTTTGCTTGAATCCCTTAATTTCTGTAAAGTCGGGCAGCTGTTAAAATGTCCAAAATGGCCAATATGGGTGGTTGGGAGCGAGTCTCATTACACGGTCTTGTTTGCTTTAGATCCTAAAGTTCAAGACGAAAATGAATTGGAAGGTAGAGAAACAACGATCCGTAGAGCTTTTGATGCGCAAGATCAGAGCGGTGGTGGCGGTTTTATCAGCGTAGACGGTTTCCATCAAGTTGTCAAAGACGCAAACATCAACCTCCCAACAGAAAAAATCGACCATCTTTGCAGTTCTGGGTTTATCGTATGGAGTGAGTTCTGGCAGGTGCTTTTGGATTTAGACAAGAGTTTAGGAGGGTTAAAGGACTCAACTGGTTTGATGGGTAAAAAGGTGTTTGACCTTTATCATTTCAACGGAATCGCAAAATCAGTTTCGGGAAGCGATGTACAACGACCACGACTTACAAAGTTACGGGTTTCGGTTCCTCCAAGGTGGACCCCAGAAGAATTTATGGCTAACGTTGGCACCAGCAGCAGCAGCAAAGATGCAGTGGTTGAAGTGTCCAAACCAGAGCGGACCCAGCATGCTCCATTGGTCGACTGCGTCAGGACTCGGTGGGCTCGAGCCGTTTGCAATTGGGAAGGCGACCCACCGAGCATAGTTTGATCGCCCATATTTTACTGGCTTATTAGGTGAAATCAAACACAGATATATAGACCGAAAGGGGGTACGGATGATGATGATGATTTGTTTGGTTGCATTTGACACCAACTTGACTGTGCAATAATGTTGGACCGCTTATTTGTTTACGATGTTGCGAGAAAGGTCGTCGGTTTGCTTTTTAAATCCGGAAGCTAACGTTGCTTTGCCGACTTGTACCCTATGCATTCAAAGTTGTACGTTGGTTTGGATTTGACCCTTTGGTCGCAAATTTCTGGTTGTAAAGGATCTGCTGTTCCTCATTTTCAAATTCTTGTCCATGTTTCGATGCTGATTGCTTTTATTATTCCATGTTTTCGATCATTTCTCTTATTATTTAAACAAAAAGTTGATTACCGACAATCTCAGCCGGTCCCACATAAAACCCTGTCTACATAGATACCAATGTGATGGAGCATTTTTTAACTCACTCTGTAGGTGAGGCTAGGATGGTGGTTGGAATCGAACGTGGAACCTGTCTTGTATTTGGACAAAGTCGTCATGTTCTTTTGCCGACTAAGCTACATGCCGAAGACAATGTTGTCTCTTTCATTATTAGCTCGTTTCTATGATGAAACACAAATTCAAAAGCTAATGCGGTTGGTAATAATGTGGAGTCTTTGAAAACGGGTTTTTGGTTGCAGAACTAGGCCTATTACATTATCTCTAACAATTATGTTATAATTTTTTTTCTTCTAAAATACAGTATAAAAAATCTTATCCTCTTAGAAAACCAGTCGAACCCCAACCACTATTCTATTTTAACAATTATAGCATTAATTTAACTATATTATTAAAAATATCTAATACATTTAATAAATTATTTCTCTATCCATTAACATTTATTTTTAATACCTGTTATTTGTGGTAAATAATTAAAATATTATTTCTCATTCACACAAAATTTTAGAGATTTTTTTAAATTTAAATATTTCAACCCCTCTCTCTCTATTTTATTAGCATACATTCAAACTTAAGCGTTGGAGCAAAAATACTGATAAATTTCCAAAATTTCTATTTCAGCATAATTGTTGCAGTTAAGTGATCAGTGAATATCTACTAGACAACTATAATAGATCCCCATAGAATTGCGTTTATTGCTTTTAACAGCAACCCTGAACTCATTTCTTTCCCTTTGATCCGATAAGTTATAATCGGTCGGTGCTTTTAAATAAATAATTTAGGTTAATTGATTAGACGTAATATATCTTTAAGAATGTCATGGGTCGCTTGACCACCGGTTACATTTTTCTCTTCTGCCATCCAACAAATGTATAAATAGATTATAGGGCAAAATGCACAAAATATCAATCTACTTTCATAAAATTTCTTATTATAGCATTCTAATTTTGTTTTTCTTTATTACAGCAATGTACTTTCAAATTATTTTTTATTAAGACATTGTACTTTTAAAAAATCTACACATATATACATGAAATAGCAACTGTTGTAATTCGTTATTTCTTGGGGTGTTTGAGATTGCTTATAAAAACAACTTATTGACTTGTTCCGGTGTGACACCAGTAATACGCACTTTTGAATGTTTGGATAAACAGCTTATATCGGTGCCAAACCGATAATAAAAAGCTAGTTTTGGTTCTCAAGTGGGGTTGTCGTCTTATTGATGTAATCGTGGACCATGATCGAAAAGTACTCTTTTAACCACATAGCAACTTGGTAAATATTGACAATTGGAAATATGTAAGCACAATGCACAAGTTGTGGTACGCTTTTTACCACAGTAGAGAGATTCAATTTTGAAGTGACACGTGGAAAAGTTCTTAATTGCAACGAAGATCATTACGTATACTTCTCAAATGAAACATGGTCAAGGTGGAACGAGTTGGGAGTTATAAATCTAAGATAAATCCGGTGGAAACTGGTCAAAATAGTCATTTCTCTTATATAAATTGGTCTTCTAGTCATTTCTCTCCATGATTTATCCAAATATCACTATGTACGCAAGTCCCACGTCCGTCACTCAGAATAGTGCAGATTGTAGTATGAGATCTGTTTTTAGTAAAAGACGGTCATGGGTTAGCGTGTTCCGAAAGTAGAGTTTAGGTACTTCGATTTAGTGATTTCATAAGAGAGTACCGAAATAAACTCACAAGTCTTGATATTTCATTCTTCGAATACTAATATGATGTATAGAGACTTTCAACGATTTTAGCGTCGACCGGGGTAAGATCATGGTCGCTGATGTTTTGAATCGAAAGGAAAAGAGTGGAACAATTAAAGTGTTAGATGGTTTTTAATGGCAACAATTTGGATGTTGATGAATATGTTCAAAGTGCTTACAAGTTTGCTTATTCTGACCGTATTGAAGTCGCTCCAGTTGCGTGTTTACCTAAACCACCACATTCAAATGACTTATATCCTAGACTGTCTAGAAAGGTGTCGCGCCTTGGGCTTCTTTATTTTGGATCACTTGTACTTCTTGTCTATTTTATACTGTGTGGTTAAACAACCAATGAGTCAAATTGTCATGTCTTTCTAATATGCTTTGTAGTTCACTATTGGTATCTTGGGCACTGCATTAGTTACGCAGTTGCGGGATCAGTGTGATGTTGAAAACATCATTGTGGAAAGGAATAGACTGTTTCGATAAAAGAAGAAAGTTGAATTCGCGTTATGTCGAAGCTTTTGTGTTCAAGTCTGTGAGGTAGTTTTCAGATTTGAACTTCCACGGGAACGGGAAGTTGTGGCACGTTTGTGTTAAGGTTAGTAGGAGGAATATTTTCCTTTAATTAAAATTTATCACTTCAGTATTTAAGTGACATTTTTTGAGGTTCTATACGGTAGAAAGTGTTGAACACCTTTGTGTTAAAATGGGAAATTGTTCAGTTACCAACATACAAGATTGATAAGATCCGTGGACGGTTAAAGATGCTGAGGACCGATAGAAAAGTTATGGTAACGACACCGTAAATCGATAGTACTTTCTTTTTCTCTTAACCAGAACAAAGACTCATCTTCTAAGAGTTTCAAGATGGGGACAATGTAATGTTGAGAGTATTTTAGTGGAACAAGATTGTTCTTTTAGGCAATAGTGGAAATCTGAGTCCGCGATATATCGGACTCTTCATGATCAATGATCGGATTGGCGTGGTAGTTTTGCGGTTAGATAGTTTAGAGAAATTGAGTGGAATTCTTAGTGTCTCTTATGTGTTTAAATTGAGAAAGTGTTTGGTTGATTCTGAAATGGCGATACCGTTACCGGAAGTTCAAGTTCAGGTGATTGAGAAATACAGAAATTGGTTTGATAAAAGTTTAGTGGTATATCATAAGGGTCAAAAAATTATCTGGGAATTGGAACCCTAATTTGTTCGGTTAATTGAATTCCGAGACGAAATTTCTTTAAGAGGAAGATGTTGTATTACGTTGGTTCAATTAGTTTATTAAGTTGGAAAGTCCATGGGTTTAAGTGTAAAAGTGTTTTATAGTTGAGGGTTTGGATGAAAAATTCCTTTATATTAAACCATCACCTCCTTTCTTTTTTACTACTAACTTGCAATACAACAAAATTGGGTTTATAGGATACCTCCAATTTTATAGGACTTAATTTATAGAACCAAATTATAAAGCGTCCTATCTAAAGGTGTTGTAATAAGTTTATATGACGCTTTTGGACGTCTTAACAAGTTTTTTAGAAAATTTTTAATACAAAGTGTCGTATTAGCAATTTTATAGGACACTTTTAAGAAAGTGTCCTGTAAACTCAATTTTTTATAGGACATTTGTTTTTATATGACAATTTTTCAAATAGTGTCCTATAAAGTTGATAGTAAGACGCTTTATATTAAAAATGTCCTAAAAAACTTATTACGACGTCATATAAACTTATTACAACACCTTTATATATGACATTTTATTTTTTTGGTCGTATAAACTATGTCCTATAAAGAGGTCTATTAAAACACTTAGAATTTGGGAATGTCCTATAAACCCGATTTTGTTGTAGTGTTGGGTTTCGTGCAACTTATAAATAAAAGGCGAGTCCGGTGGGTGTGGTGCGATTCATGAGGAGAGAAGCAAAGAATTGTTTTTGGTAGTTGCTTATGAAGGTATGATTATCCCTAATCTTGATAGTAAGGTTTGTTATAGTTTGGGTTTGGAGATTCTTGTGTAGATGAAAGTTTTAGGTGGTGTTTGTATTTTAAGAAGTGCTGAAATCTGAAGTCTGATTTCATTTCGATTTATAAGAGATGGTTCTGAAGTCTAAAATCTGGGTCAGTAAGATTGTTTGTTTTTACATCTGAAGTCTGAAATCTGAATCGCCAAACTACTACAAAAATGTAAAAGATAAATAGTTTTTACAAAAGTATAAAAGATTAATAGTTTTTGCTAACAAATCTCTTCTAGACCCCAAAATATGAACCATTTGATAGAGCACGGATTAGGATTAAGAGGTATTAGGGATATGTTTACACTTAAAATTTCAGAGGACATTTAGAGCTTTTAAGCTCTTATTTTAGAAATAAAACAAATGCTCTTAATACTTAAACGCCTGAATAGATCAGACTTCATAGGTATTAAGAGGTAATTTTGAAAAAACAAACAGACCCTAAAGGTTTATCTGGGTAAGTGCTTACATTATCTTACTTGGATGAGTACGGTAAGTATCAATAATCTTATCCGGTAAGAGCGAGAGAACGACCGAAAGTTTTACCCGGTAAGTGAAGGGGACGACTCTTACCACGGGTAACACTTACCGGGTAAATTGTTGCATATGATGCCGTTTTTGTTGACTAAAATCTTACCGGGTAAGTAAGTGATGGTGTTAAATTTTACGAGTAATAGCTTATCGGGTAAGTGTTTGGTAAACGATCTTTAAGTATTTGGTAAACGACCCGTAATGCAGAAAAAATGTTTGATTAAAAAGTGTGTAAATGAAAGATATCAACACCACAATCGCAAGTACAAACTTGAAATGCTAAGACTTCAGAAACCTAAAAGATTGATGGTGAAAGCCAAATCATGCACCCCAAATTTGCAATATAGGGTTCGGAAAGAATGCGGTATATCTAGCTTTCAATTTCATATTACAGAGTCAACCAGTCTTATATTATTGAATAAATACAAGGAAGGAAATCTATTCCTCTACACTCATTACACCTCTACAAGAACAGAAGACATAATAAAAGGACTTGCAACTTATTTGGTCAGATATATATATATATATATATATATATATATATATATATATATATATATATATATATATATATATATATATGACTGTTCGGTAGTGGCTTAATGATATATAAATTGGCTTATTCAATAACATTCTAGGGGGAAGCA